GGTACTCCTGATGGCTGGAGGAAAGGGTATCTGCTTTTCTGGGAGCCTTACCTTAAGTCTTTTGACAATGTTACAGCTTACGATGGTTGAGAACGCTTCACTTGGTAACAGCGCATGGGCATAAAATATGCGAGCTACGAATCCCCTCCCCTAAAGGGGGTGCGGACTGGCCGTAGAGCATTGACTGACACTGAAGGCACCTTCGAAAAACGGGAACAATACTCTTTATCGGCAGTATCCCTTAAGTCTTCAGAATTCAGTATAGTTTTTCAGGGTATGCCCTCCCTAACGGAAAGGAACGCTCCGGCTGGGCGCCTCGTCCCATTGAGACAAGAGCAGCACTCGCAGCCCATCCAGCCGAAGATGTTTTTATCGCAAAAACAATTCATGAAGAATGTCTCCCCTCTTGCTCACCGTTCAAATGCGACGGGCGCCGCGACGCGGGGCCAGCGGATGAATTCCTGTTCCTTTGATTATTTAGGCCATTTCCGAGCAGTCAGCTTGCCACGAGAGCATCGCGGCAGCCTCTTTCGCACTCATGTCGGCTTCTAGGAAGAAGGGTTTGCCCAAATCAGGGGGCGCTGGCGCCGCTAACAATGTCGGATGCCTGAAGAGTTTTCTTGCACGTTCCTCTTCGGTCTCCAAATAAGTCGCTTTTCCTCTGAGTAGATCGGTTAGAGGGAAGGAAATAAGAGCGGGTCCAGGAACGAAGTTAACAGTAATGCGATGCAAGATTGAGGATTTTTTGAATGTCCTGGCGAGTAGAGGGAAGCGGCGCCCTCCCATTGGCCTCCTTCGCCGGATCTGGTCCGGCTCCCGCTGCACGTGCGTCAATCGCTGAGAAGATAAGTGCTTGCATGGGAAACAAACACTTTTTGCTTGTCCGGGTGGAAAGAGACTTTTTTCTGCTTCCACAATCCACTTCTTCTCGCGTTTCAGTGACAGCGCACCTTACAATTGCTGCAGATGCTTCACATTCCAGGGGAACAGAGACATGCTGTCTATGAATACTGCCGACCACCTCCTGTTGGTTCAGTTCAAGAAGTCTTGACTAAACTGTCAATGCAGCTTCGCAGGCGCATTGACCAGCATCCAGATGCTCTTTACTTGGTGAGTTCGTGTCTGAAGTGCAGTTTCGTGCCTGTCAGCACGATGCACTGGAACTAGTCAGCGAAGTCTGTGACTTCGCTGACTGGGCGTCACAAGCATATGTTTTACGGTGATTTACTGAGGAGCGGTGGTCGGTGGCAATGCACCAGCCACATTCTTCTGCTTCTCCATCCCTGGATTGTCTCCCAACGCTCTAGTTAACGGCTACAATTTAACCTGTCTGTCTAGTTCGCCCGGTTGCAACTCACTTCTCTGCCCAAGACGCTAGGGTAGCCTTCACTTTGGAACAATGACTGGGGCTGCGCGGGGAGTGGGTTCTGTGCACCCAATGCATTACATCGGCTGCGCAGAATGCGGTCGGCTTGATGGGAATACCCCCTGCTATTTCGTTCATTTGCGATCTCTTCCTTCAATTGTGACAGTTTCTGGTCTTCGTTGGGTGATAGAGGGGCGCAATAATCAAAAATTGCGGTCTTTGTAACACCACCGGGGTTTGCATGCATTTCTCCGTTGTTTACGGCATGGCCCCAGCATTGCTTTGGTATTTCTTCGCATTTTTCGTCTTGAAAGGCATTTTTCTTCTCTCTACTCAGTGGATGTGACTGCTGTTATTAGCGTCGAGAGGCGCACTTCCTCGCTGCTCACCGCATGCTCGCCCCCACCCACACCATACCTATGATTATCTCATGAGGCGGCCTAAAGTAGAAATGCCATAGCATGGTAATATGACCGATTTGTAGTTTGAACCTGCATTTAATACTTACAGTGCAAGCGACTCTCATGTGATTCCTGCCATCGGCAAAACACAGTCCTCCAGGCGTTGTCGATGGAGGAGCTTGCGGCTCCTCGCCATGGCTTCATATCTCAGATTCGCTTTTCAGCCTGTGTCCACTAGCTCTAGTTGCTTATTACTGCTGAAAATAAACTAGATACACACAAATTGAGGTCGAGGGGTCTGCAGGTGCAGCTTCCACCTTGTGTGGCCTCATCCTGCCCCGCTCGTTGTTGCGGGTTAGTGTGATTCATTGGCGGCTTCGTTGGTTCCCCTGCAGCCGCCGCACAATGCGTCTTTTTCCCAGCACTTTTAAGTCTCCTGCAATACCGAATTATGATCTTGTGTGTGTCAAACGGATCGGATGATCCAATGGGTACGACTTTCTTGCTTTCGCTGGATTCGCTGGCTGCTGTCCGTTGTGTCTTCTTATCGTTTTCTCATCGGCGGTCTCATTCATGCTCCCGGTAATCATAGGCTCTATCTGGGTCAGCACAAAGGTTTTCCTTCATTCTAAACATGTCGTTGGAAGTGGCATTCTTTTCTCTCCTTGACCAGTAGGTACTCAATTGCCTCGGAGGGATCCACCCTTTTGCCCCGACACGAATATTGTTTTCTCTCTGCGGTGCTGCTAGTTGTGTATTAAGGCCCTCCAGAGGACCGCCCTGCTCCAAAACATATAGTAGCTCCGAGACTGCTGTTAGGCTCCAGTTCACTAAGGAATAAAATCCCTTGGGATAGCACTCTATGCGTAGCTTCTGTTATCAGATTCCACCAAATTCTTCCACAGCTTCCTCCGTCCTTCTCCAGCAGATAAACCTACATCGCAGGGCATCACGGAAAGCGTCCATAGCCCCGATGTTCTCCGGAAAAGTGGCACGGTTGCCCCGACTCAATCACCCTTCTCGTGCCTCCCATTCTGATAGGGGCTAGTCCAGTAGCAACCGTAGCAATGCGCTTTTGACGAAGAAAGTACACCTACAGAGAAACAAGAAGTGCCTCCACTGCCTCAGCCTCTGTTGTGTGCGTCACATTTGGACGGTAGGCAACTGAGGAGGCATTCGCCATGGGTTTTTACTCTCTGTAAAAGCATTGTCGGCTGGATGGCCTCTGGAAACTGCCCCTCCTCCAGTGAAAGGAGCCTCCCAGTCGGTGGTTGGCTGGCCAGCGGCGGGAAGATCCTGATAATCTACACAGAATTCTGGCGATTTGACCGATACAATCGACGAAGAATATTACTTCGTTTGTTCGGAAGAGCCTCCAAGATCAGCCAGTGCTCTACGTGTGGCCGCTTCCTTGAGGGGGCAGAATTCGTAGCTTGCACCTTCTCTTAACCTAGTGGCGTTACTAAGTATAACGAGGCTTCCAGATCTTAGCCGAGGACCTTCCTGAGCTGCTGTGCTGCCAAACGACTTAAAGACAATGCTCCCAAAATACAGCTAACCTCCCCTCCCGCCGCTAGGCATAATGAACACGCCGGCGCAAGGGTTGCTGTTGTTGTAGGGAAGAGGCAGCCTCTCAAGAGTTGCTGCGCTCATTGCTGCAATTTCTGCCTCAAGGCACGCACTTGCAAGTCTGCCTAAAGCGTGTGTAATGCATGCACCAGAATCGTAGAAAATTGATAAGCGTTTACTCTGCCATCAGTATCAAATTTGCACGCAACGGGAGAAACAACGACCAACTTCAGATAGACTATGCAACACTCCTTAACAGCGCGAAAAATCAGACAGACCAGACCACCGCTTTACCACACTGTACATGGAGAAAACTGGTCATAAATGCACCTGCTATGAATCCCCTTGCACAAGCATGTACAGTGCGGTAAAGCGGCGGTCTGGTCTGTCTGATTTTTCGCGCTGTTAAGGAGTGTTGCATGGTCTATCTGAGATTGGTCGCTGTTTCTCCCTGTGAGCGAATGCTGAATGCTGCAAGTGCAGCGTGTTCTGTCCGATGTGCCTGGGTGAACACCTACTTGGCCCCAGTGCGCAACGTCCACGCAAGCCGAAGTACAACGATTGCTACAGTGTTCACGCAGAGAGCAGAAGAAAGTTTGAGTGAGCCTGCATGCGAAGGTGCCATCCACCGTTAGTTCTAACGAGCTACGTTGCAATCCGTGTCAGATCGTCCTCTCTTGCGCAGGCGCAGCCCCTTGGGCCGTTGGGTCCAGGACGTCTGGGGACTTGCGAACAGGTTAGGTGCCTTTCAGGAAACCTTACCTTGAGAATTTGGGCTCGACTGAAGCGCACGCTGTTCCTCAGATACGATCGCTGCCTGTTCATGAAGCACTACCTATACTGCACAGAGGGGACGTTGCTGACGAAGGGTAGCCAATAGACGTCCCGCCAACACCACCTGCCTGCTTTCCTCAAGACTAACCAAGCATTCTACGTCCAAGAATGTGCAATTGTACTAAAGTGCCCCCTGCAGGCTGTCTCCGTCAGTTTCACCATCAGAAGACGCAGCACAACGCGAAGCCTAGATAGACGTGTCCGTATCTGCCTATGTTTCTGAGGGGAGTACTACTATAAAATTAAGAAGATGATGCGAGGAAAACTGTTAAAAGCCAGGAGTTGTAAAGGGTTTGGAGTTACTGAAGTTTATACCACCGTGCATGCAAACTTGTGGCGGAGCCGAGTTCGTCGTCTTGGGGCCCCCACGAGAGCTCCCGCGTTCTCTGGTGTATAGGGATTATCTAGTTGTCTCAAATAATGAACTCGCCTTAACAAACGGCCGAACTACTGGCCCTGCCGTTCCTGGGCTACAGTGTGTCCGGACAGAAAGCGATGGGCAGCTGACCTCGCGCCGATCGTGCGCACAAGTCTTGTTGTCTCGTTGGAAAAGGACTGCTATGTGGTATGAATTTGGTCATGGGAAAAACGGAGGAGCTTTCATTCTACCGGTGCTGTTGCAGCGTACTTCCTGAGACGGGTTCCACGCTCAATTTAGTCCTGAGTGACTCGAACAACTGTGTCCTTTCCGGTAGTTTCTTGCCTACCCTGCCCGGCAGATGATCCTTCCCCTGCATTTCACATGCTCATAAGCAATCGCATCGGCTGCCAATATAGGCGGGCGGCTTCACCGTGCATGTGTGATCGGCTGTCAGCGCCGTTGGCAGAAAATGGATTTGGAAAGTTCAAACGCCTCTTCCGTTTTAGACCCGCCAGCAGTGTCTCATGAGAGCTGCAATAACAGCAGCAGGACTGGTGGTGGTGCAGGCGCGGGGTTGACCAGCAATCAAGGCAGCTCCCCTGCAGCTTTCACACACAAACCCGAGGAAGCCTTGGAGGGCATTACTCTTTCTGCCGCAGAGGCAGAGGGTTGGGTGCAGCCGAGTAGCACCAGTTACTTGGCCACTCAAGGTGCGGCAGCCGGGCCTTCTAATGCCCAAACGAGCTGCGAGTTCGTGAGCCTTCCTTCCCAAAGTAATTCCAGCAGCAAAGCCATTCTGATGCAGCAGGGACAGGGCGTTGGGCCTGCCATGGACTCCGCCGTGGCATCAGAAGATGCGTCTGACGACTTAGGGGGTTCATTTACGGTTATCAATGCTCTTAAAAGGGAGGTATTCGCAACTTCCGCACTTTTGCGAGCTTTGCGCATGCACGCCGTCTCACAGACGCGTGGGCTTTCAGCAGCATCTCAGCAGCAGCTCGCTGCAGCTGTTGCCCCTCTGGTGAAATCTTTTGAGCTGCTAAATGAAAGGCTGGCTGCGGCAGAAGCAGCAAAAGAGCCTCCCCCAGCAGAGTTACAGGAGCAGCATATTCACCCTTTTCTTTTCGTGCTTGCACAGCAGCAGCTGCAACACAAGCAATTACAAAGTCTCAACAAACAGCAACAAATCCTGCATCAAAGCTGCATGCGGGCTTTAGCGTCTGCAGTACTGCGATGTATGCACTCGCCCTTTTTGAGAGAGACCCGGCTTCGTTGCCTCCACTTTTCCTACTGACTGCATTCGTTGTGCCCCGTGGAGACATAATTTGGCGCATATCAGTTGCTTTACGCATCACGTGTTTGTAGAGATATCTTATGCTTTCTTCCGTTTTGTTCTGTGCGTGTTGCGACTTGCAGCCCTTGATCAGTTGTTAACTGTGGGACTTCTTCGCTGCCGCAGCGCGGCAGGGCGTCGGTGTTTGCACGCTCTGGTCTTGTCTTTAAGAAACTGTGCTTTGCAGGCAACCCACCGGCTACAGTCGGCTCCGACGCAGCCCTCTGCAGCCAATGCAACTGCCGCTGCTGCTGCAGTTCTAGGATCCGAGGCCTACGGAGGCAGTTATTTCGCTCCTGCATCGCCTGCTGCCGAGGAGGAGCTGCTGCTGCTCCAGTGCCTAGACCTTCTCAGCAGTTCGCTCCTTGGCCCTGCGGGTATGCACTGCAGCATACACTTCATGGGCATCACGGGCGCATGTATGCGCAACAATGCAGCTGCGTCTGCTCGCGCAGCAGCACGTATTTCTGCTTTGCAGAAACCCAGCACAGTTTATGCATTGGGGTTTCGGCTGACTTTGGTGACTGTCACGGCATTTGTCAGTGGATACCACAAAAATGCCTTTTCTCTATCTCCTGCAGTGGAAGAACAGGGCTGCGTGACTGGCGCTGTTGTGGCATTCAAATGGATTGCATGCTTTTGTTTATGTTTTGTCTTAGGACATGTCTTCTCCGACGCTTGTGTCGCGAGCACAGTTCAGTGTTGCGTGGCCGTCAGGTGCGCCGAGCACGTTTTTGCTAGAGGACTACAACCCCGCCTTTAGCCATGGTTGCTTGTGTCCCTGTCATCTTGCTGGCTGTGAGAAATTCTCCCCAGCAAGCATGACAAATATCCAGCGGCGGGCGCACCTCAGGCTTCTGCTAAGCGAGGTTTCTGCCGGCTTGGTGCTGTCTTTACAGCGGGCCAGCTGGGTAGCAGAGGCATGCGCAGACACCAGAAATTGGCTTAGCAAGATTCCTGTCCCTTTGGTCCCGCCCTAGACGCCCATGCCGTCTCCGAGGTTTGTGTCTTTTGTGTTTGTATAGCCTGTCACATCGCGCCAGCCCTCTGCTGAGAAATGCGGCGGCCTCGCGTGCTGTCGCCATCACACGCCATCTATTTGCTTCAGAAAGTCTTATTTCGCTTTCGCATCGGCAAGGGCAGCTTCATGAAGGAGTGGAAACGCAGCATCAGACAGGAAACACCGATGACCAGCACGAGGAGCGGCGGGAAGAACACCAGCAACGGCAACAGCAGCAGCATGCTTCACCTCCACCGCATTTCATTGCTCGTCTGGAATCTGCAATGTCTATCAGGTCCACAGACACCGCATGCTGCCCTACACGGTATTCAGCAATGGTGAGCCTCCAGCACTTCTACTTTTGTCACCTTTTCGCTGGCTCGTAAGCTTTGTGTTCATTGATTGGGTGCACGACAGTCCGCTTGGGGAGGGTGCGCGCGCGTGCACGCGCGCAAGAATGCGGGCAAAAGCGCATGAGCTGTTGTATTCACTTCTCATTGCCTAAGACAAAGCACACAGGCACTTAAACACAAAAGGGTTGGGATCTCAGTTGCCACTAGGGCGAGACTGAAAATTTCGTTGTAGACACCTGCGGCGCCTTGCCATCCGCAGAAGAGGGAACGTGCATATCTTTTGCTGTGTCTACAGAAGGGCTATGGGCTAGAATGCCGTCTGAGAATCCTAGCGCTCGTTGCTAGGCTGCTGTCGCACGAAAGGTCTCAAGTATCGTCGAACAACTCAGGGAACAGCAGCAGCAACAGCAGCATGGGCAACGCGAGCGTTGGCTCTGTAGGGGGCAAAACTGACGCTACTCTTCCCCCATTCGTTTCAGTTGCTGATTCAGGCTCCCCACATGTAACATCAGAGGGGTCTGGTGATGCGAAGGGGGATGTGTCCGGGAAACGTAATCGATCTGAAGAGCCTCTGCGTGCCTCCGATACTTCAGTGCCAGCAGCGGCAGCGGCAGTTGCCGCCGCTGCTGGCAATCAACACGCATGTGCCTCATCCTTGGGAGACAAGGGCTCGCGGCTGGGGGCCTTTAGTGGTATTGACCGGGTGAGGCAAATTGATTTGGGCGTCACGACTTACCTTCAAGTGTGTTGCAGAAGAACAGGGCAGATGTCTTCTTATAAAACACCGAAGTAATCGAAGTGCCATTTCACATTGTTGCATACGTCGACACCGCTGCGAGTGAGCCGTTATATACTTCAGGAGTTTGAGAGCCTTCTGGGGCACCATGGAAAAGACAGGGCAGCAAATATGGAAGCTAGAGTGCTGTGCCTTCGCTTGCTTTGCGTTGGGCTTGAGGCTGGTAAGGTTTGCGCACTCTAGGACCAGCGGCAGCGGCCTTCTTCTGTCAGGCCTTCCCAGCAGTTCGATTAAGGGCTATAGGGGCAACGTTGGGGGCGCTCGCAGCCGATCCACGAGTTTAGCCAGCGGAAGCTGCAGGGTTGCCGGTGACTTGCAAAAAGAGCTGCGGCGACTAGTATGGATGTTTTCTGCCTTGTAGGAAGGGACAGTCTTTCTCTTTTCCCCAAATTGTTGCAGCCACTTCAGACGCAGATCTTGCCGCTCGTTCTTCAGCAGGACACCCGTTCGACGCCTCTTATGCTGCTCTCTCTTACGCTGAGGTGATTCACACATCCCTCCCGTGGCTGTTGGGCCGCTAGGCAGCCAAGTAAGCAGGGCAGCAACACTGCCAGCCAGTGAAGCGTGCTTGCCTCGTGTGGACGCAGGGTAGTGGGTGACTTCATTGCCTTCCTGCGGCCGTACATCAAAGATGAGATAGAGAGATGTCTGTATCAACTCCTCAGGTGGGGAAAGCCATCACGAGGTCAAGAGCACCGCACGTGTTTGTGGCCCCAATGCCAGAATCATAGCGGCGCATTCCACGTGCGAGCTTGCATGTATTTCTGCGAGCTGTGTCTCTGCTTGACTTTGTCCCTCATAGCTCAACTTCCGCTTGCGCTGCGGCTGCTTTGTCTGGTCCTGCCTGTCCCGTTGTTGTACGTCGTCTCTCGTTCCCGATTATTTTTTCTGTATCGACGTATATGCTTTCCTTTGTTCCACGGGACTGGGTGAAGGGTAGCGCGCCGGGTCTCAGTTAGACTTCAAGACGTCTGTGGTGCTGCAGGCTGTCAACCACCTACCATGGGGGCCCGTCTAAGACATTAGCAGCGGAAGCACAAGAGGTAGCGCTGGACATGTTGCGGGAACTGTGCAGCGACGCGTCGTTTGGTTTCGAGCTGATGCTGAACTACGACGGCGACATCCGCCGCTCGAATGTGTTTGGGGTCTTGGTCACGCTGTTGCTCCAGCTAGCAGCTCCCCGTGTCCCCTCCCTAAGAGGCGCTTACCGCCTTGCAGAATGTGACGTTGGAGGAGGCCAGGGCATCCTGGGGCTTTCGGGGATTCCTCTATCTCAGGCAGCTGTGGGGCCGGCGGCCACTGCTTCGGAAGCATATACAGCTAGAACTCCGACGCAGCAGCAGTCTCCTTCGGGTTATTCGCCTTCCTCTGTTAGCACCACGACGGCCGCGGAGAGCAATAAGTCTCACCACCATGGCGCCTTTCACCTGAGAAGGGCCCCTACGAGGTCGCCTTTGAAGGCTTCGCGATCTTCCGCAGACACCAACACGGCGGCAGCAACGGAGAACTTAGTTACAGATGCGGCTGGAGTTATGCGCCCCGCAGGCCTGTCGAATGTTAACCGCTTGGCTCTTGCTGCCGTCCTTCGTCTTATTTCTTCTCTAGCTTCTCTTTGCGATAGTATGCAGCACAGCAGCATTCCAGAGCAGGAGGAGGAGGAGGGAAAGGACTTTCATCTTGACAAGGCCCAACTCGACCGCGAGTCTGCAGCTGCGTACTTCTTGCGTGTCCAGGATATGCAGCTGCTTTCCAAGAGACGGAAGCACAAGACTCTATTGTCATATGGAGCTTCAATCTTTAACTCTAACTCGAAGGAGGCGATTTCTCAACTGGAGGGCCTAGGGCTTCTCCCGACGCCAGCAACGCCAAGGAGCACGGCTCTTTTCCTGAAAGAGACCGGAGGCCTTGATCTGCGAGCAGTTGGTCTTTACCTTAGTGCCAACAAGCCATGGAATGCTCAAGTAAGTTGTAAGAGTTGCCGCCCACCAGGTAGCTGTTTCTCGTTGCCTTTTCCCGTCGCACAGCAGGGGGACCCTCGCCGCGTAGCTACACTTGGCCCAGGCCCAGGTGTAGTCCATACCTTTGTCATGGCTTTCTACCTCTGACTTTCTTCTCAGGTTTTGCGCGAATTCGTTTCGCTGTTCTCGTTCACTGGTGTTGGTCTTGTTGCTGCATTGCGAGACTTTCTGAGGTCATTTCGTTTGCCTGGGGAGTCGCAGCAGATTGAGCGCGTGATGGAGGCATTCGCCGACGAGTTCTTTCGCCAACAACCGCTGGTCAATTGCCCCCACAACAAGGAGAAACTTGCAGTAGTCAATTCAGAAGGTGCGGGGACAACCACGGTAGCAACAGCAGCAACAACAGCAACGGAGTCGCCGGCGTCAGCTGAAGCCAATCCATTTACTCGGCCAGCAGCAGCAGCGGAGCCACAGGAACTCTCTCTATGGCGCTGGGTGGCCGATGAGGGGTCTTACTCTTTATTGCGTGCTGCGGCCGTGAGAGAAGGGGCGGTAGATAAGTGTCGACAGAGGAGCAGTGAAGACCTTGCCCGGCAGCTCGCAGAGTTCACTCCTGTAGGCCTACCCCGACTGCCAGTACACTGTCTGCATACACTTCGCTGTTCATCGGTAGAATAACTGTACAGCGGCCACAAAAGTCACACTTCAGCTGTGGTTTGCCCTTGCAGTGATAGCCCCTTGTTGACTTGCGTTGCTGGCTTTGTCTTCGACGGTGATGCTTACCTAGCTCATAGGTATTGAGGCTAGGGTGGGACGGGTGATGGTGTTGCTTCGTGTGCAAGCGCTCGCGGCGGCGCTTTTGTAGGCACAGGCTTTTCTATAGAATTGCAAGCAAAGTTTGGTGTTGCAATTCCCTCTCGTCTCATTTGTTTGTTTGCTCTCATTGCAGACTCAGCCACCTCCTGGTTACGTGCTCATGGTGCATAAGGATACGGTGTTTGTCCTATCGTATTCCATTATCATGCTGAACACAGACCAGCACAACTCGCAAGTCCGCAGTAGGATGCGAGTGGAGGACTTCGTCAAGAACAATCGAGGCATCAACAACGGATCCGATTTGCCCGCATTCTTCCTCCAAAACATATACGTTTCCATCAGACATCAGGAGATCAAGCTGAAAGAGGCCCCGCTGACAAGTTCCCAGCCAACGGCTGCACACGGGCAAAAGGCCGATGCGGCAGCCAAAGAACAGCAGCAGCAGCAGTCGCTACCCGATATTTTTGACGTACTTGCAGACGGGTGGACTCCTCCGGAAGGTGCTGGATTGGGCTGGGGGGCCTTTGCGTCTCCCTACAACGGCCCCAAGAGCGCTTTGGCATCTGAGAGCGCGGGGGACTACCGCATTGTGCTGAAACCCCGTACCTCTCGAGCGATGGAAAGCAGCAATACAAGGGGTTCTGATGCATGCGCAGTCAGGGCAGACGCCCGTGATCTACAGGGACTGGCGATGGAGATGTTTCATATCCTGTGGAATGGGGGCATTCTTGCCGTGCTCAGGGGGGCTTTCGAAGCATCACTTGATCTGCGGCAGTTGGAAGAAATACTATGCGGGGTTCTGTCTTTGGCTCGAGCTGCTACGGTCCTTGGTCAGGTTGTCGCCCTAAACACGATTGTAGCGGAGTTGTGCAGCTACTTCGTCTATTCTGTTCCCGCGCACTCTCAGCTGGTGTTGGCACCCATTATGTACCTTATTCGCCGCTCTGGAGCCTCTTTCAGAGAGGAAGGTTGGGGGGCAGTTCTGGAGCTGCTGCTTCGGCTGCATGCACTCGACCTGCTGCCGCCAGCCCTAATGGGCCTAGACGACTTTGAAGGATCAGGAGGCGCAGCTCTCCCTTCTCTTTGTACCTTGGCGCCACCTCCGTTCGTGCCTCCGGCCTCGCGAAAAGACAGAGGGACGGGGAAAAAGGGCGGTGGGTGGCTCGGGGATCTCACGTCCATTTTATTTGCCCTCGGGGACTCTGACGATGAAAGTGATGGAGACGACGGCAGCGGAGCCCAAGGCCATATGGTCGCGTGGTCGGAGGTAATGCAGATACACTAACGTGCCAGTTTCTGCTTTTTATCCTGAAGTGGCATCCACCTTTTAGGCAGTTAACAAAACCTTCCTGCGTGCACCGCCTGTTAGTGTGGAACGAGGTTCACCGTGCAGAAGTGTACTAGTGTACGGACGGGTGAGCGAACCACTGCGCGGCTGTCTGATGCTTTCATTCCGCCTACGGCTGTGCTGTGTCGTTTAGTCTTTTCCTTGACTCGTTCCGTTGGAACGTTTTCTGTGTGTGTCTTCAGGAGCTTAACTTCGCTTGTGACGGTTTGTATGTGTTGAGAGCCTCTACGGACTTCACGCTGCTTCCATCGACCATGGCAGTGGCAGCGGTCTGCAGTTCTGAAGTGGAGACAGACCGTGACGTTTCTGAGGCTCTCCACGTGCAGCGTTCTTCCCATCTCCAAAGGGAATCGCTGGCTCTAAGCGGCGCTGTGGGACCCGAGCACCACCTGCCGAAGGGACCCAACGAACTACCACAGCGAGAGCGTCAGGCGCAGCAGCAGGAAGTTGCAGGGGCAGGTTCACCTTCCGCTTCCCCAGAGGATGAGGAAGCTGCGGCCGCCAGAGCCCCCTACCTTCGCCTGAAGACGGTGTTGTCTCACGGCATCCGCATCGACGTGGCAGTGGCCGAGTACGATCTGTTAGACCATTTGCTGTTTGCTTCAAGCGCCCCTTTCCTAGGGCATTGCTACGATTCATCACACTCCCGGGATTTTGCGCTCTGGTTTGGTGCTGATGACTATGCAGGATTTTCCGTCAGGTCGAACCGGTTTCGTCTCTGTCAACTGCAGTTGTGCTCCTCGTGCACATTGTATTGGGTTTTCCTCCTATTCGTCAGAATCCGGGCGCGTCTCCGGACTGTCCCCTACAGGCCCAGCAACCTCAGCAGCAACAGCAGCCCTCCGCCGATGGTGCAACCTCGCTCAGTGGTAGCTCTGGTGAGGCAGTTGCAAGGGGAGCTGCAGGCAGCACCAGCGCATCATCCAGCGTGGCGTCGGGGCAGCTATCCTCTGGGACACACCATCAGGGGCCCCCTCCACTGCAGCCGCCTGAGGACCTGGGCTTGCCTTCGCTTCCGGGAGCTGAGCTTTCGATGCTCTCTAGCTACCTAGTTGATGCGCAGCGACAAGGCCTGGATGAAGACAACTCTAGACGCAACAGCAGCGTTACCAGCAGCATTAGCAGTTCGGCTGTCTCTACTCCGTCGGGGACAAATGCGTCGGTGACTCAGTGTCCCGGACTTTCTTCGTACACCTTGCCTCCACCCGTATGGTCTCCGTTGCGAGCCGGCGCTTCGCCTCAGCTGACGACTTACAGGGCTTACACAGATCGGCTTTTCTGTTTGGAGTTGCTGGGGGCTCTAATGCTGAGCGAACTAACGCCTGGGAGCCCCTCTCTTCGCCCTTCAAAGGTTTACGGGACGGCTCTCTTACAGAATTGCCCTTGGCTGCTGTGCGCAGTGTATCTGGACACCTTCTTGAGGCGCTACTCCATAGGAACTGCTGCTGGGGGCGTGCCTAATCCACTCGAGGTTGTAGGCCTAGCAGGGCCAATACATTCGAGGCAGCAACAGCAGGAGGCAGTAGCGGGGACTGACACGGATAGGCCTTCCTGGGCCATTGCTATTTTGGATGCATGCAGCAAAGACCCTCTTGCGCAGGCTACCGTGAAGAGCGTGTGCAATGTTTTCCAGTCAATAGGTTCCCGCCGGCTCGTCGAGACCCCCACAAGTGCGTCGCTGCGCGTCTCCACTGCTTTTGTGTCTCTCTTGGTCTCGGGTTGCTTCTTTTGGGTCATGCGCCTTTGCCTTTTGGCTGTGCGGTTGTTGCGTGCAGCTCTACCACACTGGGAGCTGCTGTTCATCGAGCGACTGGTTGTGACTGTACTGAGGATATGCCTTCGTCTGCTCTCTGATGAAGATTCTTTGCTGCTTCCCGTGTACACAAAGATAGGGGCGCCCCAACTTGGGGCCCCCAATACGTATGGCTGTACTCCTGCTTGCCAGGTCGCAATACATTTGCTTCAGCTTCTTACCCTTCTTCACCCCAACATCTTCTGCATGCACGTACAGCGTATCTGCCAGTCTGCCACTGTAAGTTTCGTGTGATTGCATAGCTCTCGGCCGCGCTGTAGCGCTTGAACGCGACAGTGAACGCATCTTCGTATGGCGGCTGGCGTCAATAGGTCTTGCAGCTGCTGTTCAAGTGCCAGCGTTCATGGATGCCTCTACGGTGCGGTTGGCTCCGCATGCTATTTGCCCTGCACCTGATTTGCGTGCCGGTGTGCTGCAGATCCTCGTCTCCAGGCTAAATCTGAGAGCGTGCAGCAGCCCTCTCCTAATCCAAGTCCTTCTGGCTCTATATCAGCGCCTTGTCCCTCTGCCTGCCTTCCTACCAACTGCGCCGTTGCCGCAGCACTTGACACAGCCGCAATCTCAGCAGCAGCTTGCCCTGAGGATCATCGGTTCCCTGTCTGACTGGATAAAGGACCCCGAGGCTTTAGCCTTACTTGTGCTGCAGCACCGCAACCACTACCAGATGCTGCTACAGACCCTGATGGCCGTGTGCATTTATGTACCGCCGTCTTCATCTGTACAGATACCAGGCCCTTCGTCTGTCGAGCGAAGGGCTGAGGGAGAGGCTCAGGACAACCAGCAGCCGCAGCCGAGCGTGAGCAGTGCCTCGTCCTACGAAGCCAATTGCACATCTTTGGCATTGCTGGCGTCTTTACTTCCGGCAATTGGTGATGCGCTGAAGTCCAAGGGAGAGGCGGTTGCAGCATGCCTCTCTGCTGCAGCAAACGGCGCTGCTAATGCGAACGGCGAAGGCTCCTCCACATGGAAAGCTCGTTTGGATTGCCAGGCAATGTGGCTTCAGGCCATGCAAGTAGTAGCTATTGTCTGCAGTTTCTCCGCACGACCCGTGAAGGTTAAAGCGCTGGCGGTGAGTCCGACCTCACCGTTTCTGTATGCGGCTCCAGAGGAGGGCACATTGCACATATCTGCACTCGATAGGCATGACACGTAAATGTGAAGGCCGCCCTGTCTTTGTGCACCCCTGTCGTTGCCGCGACGCGACGGTCACGATTTCGCATCAGGTGGCGGAGGCATGCGCTGCTGCCATGAGCTTTCACAGGTCCTGCAGCAAATGCTGATCCGCTGCAGTACGAAGAATTCGAGCTCCGAAGAAAGTAGAAGCCTTCTTGTCAGCGACAGAACTGTTAATTCCGGAGGTGGTGCGGAGGGGCAAGACTGCACTACTGCGGCTGCTGCTGCACCAGCGGCCACTGTTGTAGCTGTTGCAGCAAACTACTGGGCTACGGCACCAGAAGACGCATATACTTGGAGACTTTGCTTACAATTGGTTGTCTTCCCTCTCCTTAGCCTTCGATTTGAGTATCCGTACACGCCGCCGTCTCCAGGCGATGCCCCTCCACCTCCTCCTCAGCATCACCAGCAGCACGTGAACGGTCACAGTTTGGGAGATTCCGTCTATACCTTTTCAGCAGGGCACGACCAAGAAAACCAACTCCGCGATCCCCACTTCGGTATGCCTTGGATGGCTCTACCGACAAGAAGAAGACTAACCCCCGAAGTTGCCATAAGCACTCTGGGCCTCGACGAAGTAGGATATGCCGACGTCTCTGCTGCTGCTTGCTGTGCTGCTTCTTCTGCTGATGTTTTTTGTTGCAAGAGCCTTTTGCGCAAAGAGCTCAGTGTGCATGCACTGGTCTATTCCTGTCTGGCGCCCCCGTAACTTCTGCCAGCCAGCACAACGCTGGCAACGTCCACCAGCTCATCCTTTGTGGCGAGATATTCTCTGCAGTAGCCCTGCAGCTTTTCTGTATGCAGGTCTGCATCTGTACTGTAGCCGCTCGCTTTAACCCATGCCTTTGCGATTGCTCACTATATTTTTCTCCCCAGGTGTACCAGAGAAAAGCAGCAGCAGCGAGTTTGGCATGCCGTCTCTTCCTTACTAAGATGGAACTCCTTCTGCAGCCGTTCAAAGTAAAGGGAATTTATGTGGACTTCGTGGCAGAGCCGTTGCCGCCTGTGGATGAGTCGAAACTCCAGGGACTTCCAAGAGACCATCCGGGGGGAATAGAGGGACTTTTGCCTCCCCTGACTCAGCTGGTGCAGCTGCTCGTTACAGAAGCAAAGGTGCAATCTGCCTTCTTGAGCACATGCCAGCTGGTGACACGAAGAAGAATTAAGTTTCGCTACTTTCTTGTGCACCTTTTTGGGGGTTGCAGTAGTCGCAGTAGTCTTGATGATCAGACCTTACATTGGGCGTTTTTTCTTGTTTTTCTCAGCATGCCCCAGTGATCTATCGCGATGCATTTCTCGAGAGCATGAAGAACACACTGCTGGTCGTCCTGACATGCCCCTTCGTCGCAGCAAGCCCCATACCGGCGGATTTGAAGACGAGGATATCTCCAGCATCTGTTCTTCCAGTTGTCTTTTCCCCGGAGCAGCAGCACCAGCAACAGCAGCAACAACGGCAAGAACACCAGCAAGAACAGCCGACCTCACAGAAAGGGGAAACCCAAGGGACTCCAAGGGAAACCGAAGTGACTCCAAACGCGGATGAGGCTGCGCAGCTTGCAGCGAAGCAAGAAGCTTTGTTAGGGACGCTGTCTTGTTTAACGGATAGCCAGCGGCTGGTGGTCTCAGCAGTGTCACCCTTCGTCGTCTCCACATTTCCATCTGTGATACAAGAACTCCTTCTGATACTTCCCACCCCGCAACCGCCTCCGCCTCCTCCAAAGCAGGACCATGTTGCCTGCAACGACATGGGAGCAAATGCTGCAGAGGAGGCCTCCGAAGTCCCTGCAGATTGTAGCCCTGTAGCCTGCCACGACAACGGAAAAGATGCAGAAGTTGCAGCGGAAAGTCTTGAGGAAGTCCGTAGTTGTTCTGGTGCAGTTGCATTGCCACCAGCTGATGGTAGTGCTTGTGCATCGTAGCCGAACGAACTGCTAGAAATGACCCATTCTATGTGGCGTAGAGAACAACCGTCACTGAGGGTACGGCTGATATTCCTGCTCTGTGCTTGGAGCGGAAAGCCAGTCAGTGTATGAGCCCACAGAAGATTGCTTGTCGAAGGGCTTGCGAGTTAAAGTGATGCGAGAACAGAAACTTTCATGGTTCATGCATAGTTTTCGGGGGAAACAGGTTTGTGAATTCTGACGCTCTGTTGGATTAATTCGCTCATTCCTTTCTCTCCTTCGACAATTTCGCGCGTTTGCTGAGCGTTTAACCCGTTCCCACGTTTAGTGCGCGCTATCGCCCGTTACAGAGCCGGACAGTTTAGTCAATTTCTCAAGTTGTCAGTTTAACAGGGGAATAATTCTAGAGGGTTGTCCACTCATTGAAGAAGGCAAAATGCTCCCCCAAATTTAAGCGTTTCGCTTTTGCTTGAGCACCACAGTGCTGCCGTTGAAGAATTGTCCCTTCTGGGATCATTTTCTTCGCTCGTGTGCGAAGTCAAGCTGGGACTGCGCCCTGCGCACTATGAACGGGGTCGTAGGACCCGTGACGTTGCTGCACACCTCAAGGGCTAGCCCCTACCAAAGCTTCTATTGAAAGTATCTATTCACTTCTCTCCCCCCACGAGGAGACATTAATTCTGTACATTTGGGGGGGCAACAACTGCCCTCGGTTTGTGGTTGGAGTCTCCTAAGGAGCTTAAGAGGAAGATCAAGGTGTTAGTCTGGAGGCCATCTACTACAGGAAGGACCTCTCAGCTGGCCCACCACTTAGGCATGAGCTTAAAAATGCTTTGCACCACAATCACGTTGATTACCTGCGGAGATACTATGGGTGGTCGCTGGTGTGGGTGGCATGAGCCTTCTCAGGTCACAGGGAACTCTTCAAATGAGGTAGCGTGTTTCACCCGTATTTTTACAAACCAAATTTCTTCGGGCAAAGGTAAATTATTGATCCTGTGGCGAAAATGGCAAATCCCTCTCCAAATAGTTCCTATGCCTCCAAGCTGCTCTGTGCCCTAACTGCCCCTTCCCACCTCGTGCATGTATTGAGGGGACTCGCAAAGACGCGCAAAACCACATATACTGATGGGTCGTATAACTTGGGGCATTTAAGATCTGATGTGAAACTGTTATTACGCCAACTTGTGAGAAGGATGATTTCCGCACAGCGTTCGATGCTACGAGCAGCAGTGTAGATGGCGTGGATAACAATGTGGGGGTTTCAATGTCAAAATCATTGCAACTGGCCACAAGGAGACAATTTGGCATTCTTCAACATTATCATGGTAATGCTGGCCAAATGATGACTACTGTGGGTATTGAGTTGCCGCTGTGGTGGAGACTTGGGGCTAAGCGCTGGGGCTTTTGCGCTGTTCCAGATGTGCGAATTCAATATGACGCAACAGAACAGTGTTGGACTTGGTATTTTAGAAATAAATTTCCATTTAGTTGCCATCTCCTGGAGCCTGCTACTAACCGCACCTTTTGGGGTGTCTGATCCCACCTCGCAGTTAGCTGCAGAAACTCGCACCTTCTACTCCTTCACTAGCCAGCATGTGCCATCGAGTGCATTGCTAATAGTACGAGATGCAGCCTATCAAGCGCCACAGTAACAGTCTGTACCTGCGCAGGGACGTGCGGGTTACTACTGTTCGACAACCAAGTCCTCTCGATGACACACCCGATCAGATTGGACAGTTAGGCAACCGCGCAGCTCTTTTAACTCTTTTTAGGGTTCCCAATCGACAGGCGCTTAATTTTCAATAGGTAGAGACGGGCATTAAAGGTTTTCTACCCGTTCGATAGTGTCATCGGCAACTACGCAGGCGCTCTAGTTCCGTAACTTTACCTGAGTGGCGTTTACGTCAAACGAAAATGCCTCAGAGTATGCAGATTTTTCTCACTTCCTAGTGCAATTAGTGAAGGCCTGGCGTTATGTGCGTTCACCAGAATTCCACTAGACGTTGAGGTAACTATTGTAGTACGGTGGAAAAGGCGCTCGGCGAAGTTGATAAACTTTGCTTGCGGGAGGCATAATCTACTCCTTGTGGGGAAGGTTGTTGAACGGCAATATACAACATTTGTGTTGTCCGTCCCTCTTCTATACTCAGATGCACCATTTGACGAGACAGGCCTTGCTGCCAGCAAGGTAGGGAGGCTGAGGAGGCAAATTGCAGCACAGGATCGAGAGTTGCAGCGGCAACAACGGGCACGTTCCTGTCACATCGTTCAGAAGCTCGTGCGGGAGGAATGGGCTAATGTTAAGAATGATGCGCTTCAAGCTACTTTACCTAGAGGAGGAGACGACTCTGAGCGAGAACAGACGAGCTGTGGGGCTTGCACACCTGTAGCATTCATTCAGCGGACTTAATACCTTTGCACCGAACTCTGCAAGGGAGACGGCGCTTTTGGGTTGGCCACCGCCTGCTTGGATCTCTACCTGTTGCAGGGAGTCCTGCGGAACAGTGCAGAACTGGAGCAGTGTAGTGGTCGCATGTATAGGCACACAGAATGCTGTTTTCCACACTGCCTGTAGCAGCAGTCCCCCTGCTGCATTTCTTTACCCTGTGCTGCAGCTGGAGAGTCATGTGCACGTAGATGCGTTGGCACCAAAGGTGGTTTTGCGAAGCTTGGAGAAGCGCTCAGCTTTGACTCCCGTGATGATGTAACACATCGAAAACACAATGCATCAGCGATGCCTCTCTGTGGCGTTGCTTCGTCGGCTGCGAGGTAATTAGCTACCAGCTAAACCTGCACTTTGGGTTGCCGTTGTCTCGAAGACAAATAATTTTGCTGAGGTTTCTACTTGTTTGCTGAAGATAGTTGGTATGCAGGCCAGACGACAAGACGGCTACTACAAAATATCCTCCTCTTAAAAAAAGGAGCCTTAGTGTGTTCGAGCAGAAAAAAATAGAAAAGGCGCTTCAGGCCCAGCAGCAGGCGATTTTGGAGGGGACTCCACAACGCATTGCAGGGAGGGTTTACTCTGGGCCTTCTTTTCGGTGCTCTCCTTGTGAGGTGACGTTTAAGGGATTTGAAGCCGGTGGCTTATATTCACAGGAGGTAGAGGTCACCAACGTGAGCCTGGGATTCAGCACATTTCGGATCTTGCCGCTTCCAGAGGAAGTCGAAGGCATCATTTCTGTAGATTTCGAAGCTGCAGGCAGGATATCTGCGGGACGCAGCACGCGACTAACAGTAACCTTTACACCCAAGAGGGAAGAAGATCTGAGGACGGAAATTCTTCTGCTCTCTCCCACGGGCCCACAGTCCTTGCCAGTCATTTGCTCGCGCAAAAGGTCTGTTCTGTCATTCCGCCCTCACAAGCTGTCTCCTCAATCACTTCTGAAGTCACTGCATACTTTAAGTGCGCCCTCTCGAGGATGGTGCGGTGGACGATCTGAACCTAGTCCTATAAAGAAACCAGAAAAAGACAACCAAGGTGTAACTGGCGGAGCAAAGATTCGCCTGGGCAGAATGGCACAAGTCCCTCAGGAAAAAGAAGGCAAAGACGGCGTTGTGTATCTCTCCGCTGGAGATATCCAGCTTGGCGAAGTGGCGGCAGTTCGTTTCAGACTGTCGAACACTGGGAACCTCGGCATCGCGTACCGCCTCTTTCCTGTATCTCCAGAAGAGCTGCAGGAGCCTTTAGAGGCAGACTCTCAGTTTAACCAACGAAGAGGGCAGACCCGTGACACAGCTGGCCTTCCACAAGATCTACCCGAGGAGTCAGAACCAGAAAATCGAAGCGCAGAGGATCCTGTCACGCTCACTTCAACGGAGCTTACCTCAGCTGAAAATGTGGGAAAGGAAAGCAATGCAGGCCAGCCGGAAGAAGACTTGAGGAGTCTTAGTGCTTCTGGATGGCTGGAGGCGCTCCAGGGGGAGGCCGTTGTGCTGGCTCAACGACTTCGGATCTCAGACAAACAAAATACTCTTGCCTGGACACGAATCTTGTCTAGTGGCTTGGGCGGCCTGTTGGAAAGCAGAACGGAGCAAGATCGCCAGGATGCTCCCCCCACTGCTCCTCCGTTGCAGCTTTCACTCCGAAGTACTCTTGTTAAGAACGCAGCCGGAGAGTTAGACGCCTTCCAGACGCAGGAAATTACCATTGTTCATGCACCGACCCGCACAGGAAGATTTATTGGCTTTTTTACCCTGCAATTTTCTGACCCAGATGTATTATTTTACACTTTGGGCTATTGCAGTTACTCTCCACACGATGACACTGCATCGGCATCTTTGTTCTTCGTCACTTCTCTGTTCTACCACAGTGAGATGACGGGCTTCTTGCTGGTATTGAGGAGACACCTGTTTCTTTTTTCTTGTGTTGCTGCCATCAGCACGAAGATGTGGTGGTCGTAGTGGACGGACAGTGCGTCTTGCCGCCCGTCTGCATGGATGCGCCGCTACACGACCTCGGGATCTGTGTTCCAGATAGAGTATACCGTCAACACTTTCAAGTGGCCAGCAGCAGCACCCTGACCCGCACGTTGCAGGTGGTTTCGCCGGAAGTAGAAGAGAAGGTATTATGGGTAGAGCCGCGCTGCTCCTTCGTGCAGCCTAGAGGTGTGGCTTCTCTGACAGCGCACCTCTGTCTATCTTTCTCCTTCTTCGAACGACATCCCGAATACGTGCAACCTCTCCCTCCTGATGTTGCTAAGACTAATCTCAAATCTGTGGCGTTCAAGATACCAATTCAGATAAGGGCAAGCGACCAAATTCTTTGTGCGGAGACAGCCATTACAGGTGTGCAACAAATAGGCAGAAACGCCACTCATGTAAGCACATATTTTGCTGGGGCATGAAGAGGCCGGAGGGAAAAGGCATTCCCTCGAAGTAGACTTCACCATGGTTTCTTCGACTGTGTCCTGCACAGAATATGAGCTGTGCGGATTTCGGTTGCCTTCGACAAGAGCACCTCCGCTTTCCCCTCCAAAGAGTGGGGCTTTTTTTGCTGTGAAAGAATTCCTGTTGTGCAGGTGTTCTCACTGAGCTACACTTGCGCCTTTCTCGCACGGCCTTGAATTTTGGGACGTCCGAAAACACGATTCGCCGAACGCAATTAATCAAGGTCCACAATCCCTCCCTGTTGGTGGCGTCATTCGGTTTCCGTTCTTCTGATCGCGCTCTGCGGGTTTTGGAGCCCCCTCACTTCACAGACCTTAATGGCGCAATGAACAGGCAGAAACTCCCAAGGGCAGGTCAAGATAATCAGCCTCCTGAACCAGGCAGTCCGTGCTTCACCCCTCCGCAAGACCCTAATTGTGCCGTTGTTTCTTCGAGCGACTCTGCTCCTAAGGAAGAAACTGCAGGTCCAAAATGGCACCCTGTCCCTGTGAAATTCCCTGTGAAGAACTTCCGAGACACACAGACACCGCCTCCCTTTTCAGCCCTTCGGCAGCTGCAGGAGACGGACAGCAAGACGTGGGACGACCTGCATCAGTACCTTCCCCATCTAGATTGCGGAGGAACAGGCATGCTGCTGCCAGGGGAGACACGATCCTTCGCTGTGGCACTTGATCCGACAGAGCTTCGATGCGACGCCCACGCTCTGCAGCTAGCTACAGGGAAAGCAGTTGAACGGGAAGGCGAGCTTCGCATGCGGGTCCTGCTGGCGAGCCAAGCCGCCTATGAAATCAAAATTCCTTGGTCCGTTACTCTTGTGGAATCGCCGATTGTTATTTTGCCTTCCCCTAGTTTGAAGTTTCCCGCCATACCTGTTGGCCAGAAAACATCGGCAACGTTAGAACTGAAGCTCCTAGGCAATCAAATTGCACTTGGAAGGGGAGATGCCGAAGGAAGCCCAAAGCACTCAAACTTCCCGAAAACTCCTTCAAAAGAAGCCATGCAGTTCACAGCTGTTCTTGTAGAAGTCCAGCAGCCACTTTCAAGCCTCAGCGCGCTCGGCATTACCCCAACTCGAGTGTTGCTCTACCCGAAAAGGCGCAGCGCTTCTCTCTTTATCTGTTTTAGCCCAACCAACGAATACATGCAGCTGCTGCCAGCAGTCGAAGCACAAGAAGCTGTGGCGGACCTCGAAGGGTCTTCTCTTTCCAGTGCTAATGAAGCTGCAAAACATGGACCACAGCCTGGTGGCGGGGCTCTGAACGGTGAAAAAGCACAACCTACAGCATCAGGTGGGAGTGCCAGAGGCCGAGAAAGAGCTAAAAAGGCTGTGAAAGCCGATGCCACCGCACCAATGGACTCGAAATCCGCAACAGAAAAACGCCCGCATAGAGATGCGAAGCCTAAGAACAATAAACCAGGCCTCAAGTCTGGAGAAAGCCTTGTAGAGGAAGATGAGAATGCCACTGTGTGCCTCTCAGAAGACTCCGCTGAGGCTGTAGGCAATGGCCACAGTGTGGCAACGGCTGGTGCTACAGAAGGGCTTAGCGACGTTGCTGACCCTGCGCGGGAGATTACTAATGGCACGGCTCTACGCACAGCGCTCCAGCAGGTGACCAAGGCTGGGGGAGCTCGGTGGACAAGCTTAGAAGACGACGGGGGGGCCGACTTCTTTGCTTTTGACGACCCACGAGCGTTCCATCACGCGCGTTGGCTCATACCGCTAAAAATATGGCGTCTGTCACCCAGACAGGTTGACGCTTTCCTTTCTGGGAGGGAGGCGGACTCTCCGCAATTACCCGTATTTGGAACATCACAGTCATTTATTGAGGTAAACCTCTCCATTGGAAATTGCGGATTCCAGTGTCACTGTACTGCGTGCTGCCCGCTGTAACGCTCTCAAGGAGACCCTTCTACTGCTTGTGCGTAGGTCAGCACTTGCGCAACTCCCCCCCTCGTCGTTGCTTCCATGAAGCACGTGGACTTTGGCTCGGTGATGGTGGGGCAGCGGGTGTTCCAGCAGGTGTACATCACGTTAGCTCCCTTTGCACCGCCATGCTCCCACACCTTCCAAGCCTTGCCGCTGCCCTTGGGCTGCAGGTTCAGCCTGATCAGCGTTGCTCGAGAAGTCTCACCTGAACGCCCACTCTGCCTCACCATTGCCTTTCAGCCTAATGCACCACAGGTAAGAGATCCTCTCGGCATTCCACGGCTGCTGGCGCCCGGATGAGCACAGCTCCATACATTTTCCCAGGCACGCTGCATGTCCCTTCAAGGACAATGTTTTGAATAATGTCCCATGAAAAACATTTGTTCTCACTACAGAATTTCGCTGCCGACCTGACCCTTCAGTCGGCGCGCACCCGGATAACAGTCTCCCTTAGCGGATCAGGCATTCAGCAGACAGTCGACGTGGTTCCTTTTCAGACAGCGTACGACATGGGAGCTGTGCTCTGTCCACCTCAGGGAAAAGGTACCTCCCTGCTAGTCAGTAGCATGCTACGCAAAAGCACGGAAGCGGCAAGGGAGCCTCCCGCTTCTTTGCTTCATTTGTTGGGCACGCGCGTTTCTTGGCAAAAAGTGCATGTGAAGCTGAACTGATTATGAGCTTCCTCCCGGCGTGTTAGTAATGCTCTTCCTGCTCATTTGCAAGAAACAATTTATCTGTGTAGCGTGGCGTGCTCCTGGAGCGATGTTCACAGGGGCCACTTGCATTTCCTCGACAGCCTACACCGTGTCTTTGAAGAATAGAACATCCACTCCCTTGTCCTTCACTCTTGTCCCCAAGCAAATCCGGTACCCTCAACTGGATAGTGCCAAAGCTGGAACAGGTCTGAGCTGCTTTTCGTGTGAGCTACTGCAAGGTGTAATCCTTGGGTCGAGTTCGGTGGAGCTGGTCTTTCATTTCCGGCCGCAGCGCCCAGGTGCAGTCTTTGTCTTCTCACTCCTACTCTTTGGCCTTTAAAAGAAGCCTCGAATCAGCCTGGTAACTCCCTGACACATATCACGTGTTTTGGTTTTGAAGACTTGGTTTTTGTAGCTTGAATGCGGCGCAGAGGGTTGGCTCAGAGGCGACTTCGAGCTCAAGCTTGCCACTGAGGGGCATAATTCGAGGGTTTTGAGTTTCTTTGGGCTTGCAACTGCAAACCCAATCTACGTAACTGCACCGATTCTACGCGGTGGGTCAGTTTGTCCTCCCCGGGAGGCCGCTGCCTGTTCTTCGCATGAGGGCAGCAGCGGCCACAACAGCAGCAGCAAGTGCTGCTGCGATGGCTCGGTGGAATCCAAAGACTTTGAAGGCACTCTACGAGATGGTAATACCTGCTTGGCATGTTGCATGGAGCTTCTACCACGGCTTTCCGCAGAGCGCAGTCTTTTATGCCCGGACGAGCTGGACACCCCTTGGAATCGCACGATTACGGATGAAGGAAATCCTTCTCCAAAAGCAAAGGGTCAAAGCCTTTCTCATCAGCAAGCGCAGCTGGCGGGGAGTGACTCCAGCCCTGAAAAAAGGCGTTTCGAAGTGCCGCAGAGCCTGCAAATCCTTAATGTCCAGTTCGGCTCCCCTCCCGGCGGTGGCTGTTTTGAAGAACCATGTGAGGGCCCAAGCCATATGCACGGAGATAGAGTCAACACCCAGACTCAGTCCGCCCGTAGCCCTCCACCATCAGGGCGGGATGAAAGGCAAAAAGTAGACACAGGGGGGCTGCTGCACGAAGCCGATTTGATAGTCAACAATGATGTAACACGTACGATAGTTGTGGCTGGGGCGTGGAGCCCTGGACGTCAGGGCTTGCCTCCCTATGCTTCTGCCAGGACTGAAACATGCGGGAGCTTTGAAATTACTGTTGACCCTTCACCATACTCGCGTCTGTTTACCTTTGAACCATCGAAAGGGACTGTCTCACCTGGAAGTCAGCAAATGATTCGTGTTAATTTCTACCGGCAACCCCCAACAAGTGGTGAGAGAAGTTGTATGCAGCTTCCTTACAACCAAGGCTAGTCTGCTAACAGCCATCGCCATATCTGCGTTCCTAGTGGAGGGCACGTGCGCCAACAGATTGCATGCTTCATTCATCCCTCTACAATGTTTATTCTGTGTGCCTGCGTTTTTAGCGGAGGAACGCATCCGCGATGTACTCAGCCGTCTCCCAACGGCCATCCTAAAGGAGAAACGCGTAACCGTTACAGCCAGAGTGTGCTACCGCGGAGCTACAGGCGCAGGGGGCCCCCAAAACCAAGATGTGGCAATCATTCGGCTCAGCGCACCACTATGACATACGGGGCTTTAGAGAGGTGAAAATATGCGTGGATACGTGAGCGGAGGCAAATTAGTGTCCATTAAGACTCTGCCTCTCCACACAATGTCTTTTGGGAAACTGGAAACATAACTGTTTTTGCTTCCGGCAAGCTCAAATTGGGCTTCTTCGCTGCGTGACACCAGCGAATGCGGGTGCGTGCGCCTCTTTTGTCTCGTAGTTGCTCGTCATGTCTATTCCGCGAGTGCAACGACAAGATGCATGAATGCATGCTTCTTGTGTAGAGCTTATGCAGGAATTTTCTGCGACTTGATGCGTGCAACATCTGCTCTCTCCCTATGGTGGCGGCGTCCAGTCTTGAGTTGTCTAGAGCGCCAGAACATTAGTTTCACTATACATTGATATTGCGGGTTTAACTCAATTTAATCTGATACGCTTTCCGGAGGATTTGTTCCTCGATTTGTGTTGCATTCGCCAACTGTGCCTTGCGGCCAGATTAGTGGTGGTGGTACCGAAAGTGTGGACCGTTCCGCCGAAATTCGAAGTAACAACTATTTTAAAGTCACTTTCTGGTAATATGATTTGGATTCCTGGCCATTTGAAGCATCTATTCGTATCCTGTCCAGACTGCACGAGCCGTACGGCGCGCAACCAGCCCTGTGCTCGCGCCTGTGGCCAGTCGAGGGTGACCTTGCCCAGCTCAGGGTACTGAAGACCCATTCTTCAATCTATTCAGCGAACAAAAACTAACAATGGCTAATTGATAGGAATTTGCTGTGTGTGACAGTAGCGGCATCCGAGAACTGCTTATGGTTCGGTTCGACCGTGGGGTCTATCGCCACGGCAATAGGTTCCCTTCAGGACAGAGTTTTCTTTGCCGACGGCAAGGCATAATAATTACCCTTTTTAGACGAACTCCATTTGACTTTAACATCGATTCAGGTGGCCAACTATTTGAAGGGCTTCCTGGAAAGCGAACGGAAAATGTGCGTTGCAGCGTTGTAGTGCCGTACAACTCGGGAGAAGTCTAACCATGAGCAAGGCAACAAGGGGAGGGAGGAGCAAGCCGCTGAGAACACGAATTCCGAGAGAAAAGGACGTTTAAGGGTTTCTGCTTCTGCTTCAGACAGCGTTTCAGCCGTGACGCAGACAGGGGTCCACACATCTTGCCGGAGACGCAACGCGATACCGACATGCCGTGGCACGCGTGAAGGGCCAAGAAACGTTGTGTAAACGAGTACGAGCAGGATGTCAGAAAGAGGCGGTGGTGGTGGTCTGGGGGATCCGCCATCGGGCAGCGGGCCTCGCCCAGAGGGACAACGAGAATGGGGTGAGCGCAGCGGCGAGCGGAGGGAGGAACGGTGGCATGGAGAGGGTAGAAGAGAAGGGAGTCCTTGGGGGAGCAGGCACCCTTCAGGACCTGGCCGAAGTGGTGACCGCAGAGGCTCTGGGCTAAGGGGAAGAGGCAGGGGTTTTCGACAGAGTCCTAGACAGCGTCCTTTGACCGAGAGCCTCGAACGCGCACTGGAACCCACGGGCCAAAGGCGAGGCCAGGTGTTGTGCAATGCGTGGACCATGCGCCTGGAAGAGGAATTCCAGGCATGGGGATATCCGCTGAGCATAAAGGAACGTGGGACTGAAAGACCGGTGGGTGCCTGCGGCGCGCTTGCAATTTCTAGAACTCTCAGTACCCTCTCTGGCCACACAAGCAGCTGGGAGAGGCCATTCTTGTGGCTTCGCAGGTAGAGGAGAGAAAGGAGAGAAGAAAGGTTTTGGCACAGCTGTTGAGGGCGCTTACTGGAATCCAGGAACCCCCGGAACGCCAGCGGCCGAGAAGGGTTATCTCAAGAGGAGCTCAGCATTCGGAGCTACTGCGGTGGATCATCGTATACTCAGAACGCATACGGGAACTGATCCGTGATGAGCCAACGCGCGAAGTACCCGTGCGTGATGGAGACGCCCCACTGAAGGTATACACTGTCACTTTTGGAGAAGAACGAGAGGTGGGTTGAACCGCAGCGATGCACATGAGACAGCTGCCGGTCTCCCAGCCATCACAGGGAGATTCCAAAGTTTCAGCTGTGAGAAAAAGTCTTCATTCTTTATTAGCATATGCTTTTCATCTGGTCTTCGACCATCGCTTTTTTCGTGCGGGCGAGTCAAAGGCCTTGCCACATTTCCACTTTGCCGCGCCTGTGTTGCTTTGTGTAGCTCACCGGGGCAAATTGGCGTTTCTACTTCATTGCAGCCATGATGATTACCCTGGAGGCAGCGAACTATCAAAGGGCGTTGGGGCAATCACAATACATCAGACTGGACCCCCGTTCTCTAAAGAGTGACATGGAACTCTACGGTGTCGATGCAACACTAATCCAAAGCGACGCAGGTGAGCCTCAAGTGTGTCGGAAGGTGGTGAAGCACTCTGTTGAGGGTTTTCTCAGCAAAAGCACATACTAATTACTGGCTTCGTAGTGCCTTTGATTATCGTCGATCGTCGCACGCTTGCATCCCCACACATCTGCAGGAGCAGCGGGCCACCAATGGAGAATCAAGAAAAAATTCTCCCTAGCGTTGCATGCACACACGTGTCTTTTGTGCATCTGTTTTGATTTCGCAGCTTGGCTGCTAAAGGTGAGCAGACATGATCGCAAGCTAGAGGTAGGCTTCCTAGAGGACCGCCTGAGGGAAATGGACTACCAACAGGCCCTGCTTACATACAAGAACCGTCTCTGCGTCACAGTGCACAAGGGAAATCTATACAGAATCGTAGATATCATGGACACAACAGCCGACAGAGCAACGTTTGAAAAAGGCGGAACCACCATTACTGTAGCAAAGTATTTTAAAGATGCCTATAACGAAAATGTGGAGGGTAAGCAGGTGGTCACCGCAAAAGAGGCTCGCGGTGGTTCCAGGCTCTGCTACTTGCCTGTCAATCTTCTTAGAGTCATTGCACAGGCCCCACAGGTGCGGTCGCCTGTAATACCCAGTAGACTGCTGCTGCCCCTAGCCCTAAACTTTTAATTACGCGAGCCTTAAGCACTGTGGACAGCCTTGGGGAATGTAAACGCGACTAGAGCATTAGGACAACTCTAGGGCTTCTGTTGACTTTGCACGGGCAACGTACAGGGGAGAAAAGTATGTGCAGTGCATGCCTGTTACAGCCAGAGGAGGGGTCGCGGGCAATGCTGAGGCCTAAAAGTGCTCAAGAAACTCTCGTAGAGTGCACTGAGCTGGTAAAAGACATACTTAGAACGCCAGCAGTTAAAGAACAGATGAAAGAGCTCAAGGTGCACATTGGGGACAACGGCGGACTCCCCATTGACGTCCAAAAGGATGTAAGTGGTAAGGGGTATGGTGCGTCTCTGCTTTACGTACCAGGTAATGGCCCAAGTAGGTACTTGTTGCGAACATATGCTGGCAGCTACTGTGCGTGGCTCGCAGATCACGAGCCTGCGGAAGGTTATGGGAGATGAGCCACACTACGGGGAGCCCAGGATTTCGTGGGGTCCTGAAAGAAAAGAAGAACAGCAGGATACTTTCGTTGAACTGACTCCTGATTTCCGCGCTCGGCTTTGCCAAAATCTTGTAAGACTGCACAACCAGCTGCCGGTGAACTGCAAGGCTTGCTCCAAGTGGAGAGAACATTCCAGCAAAGAGTCATCTAGCATACCATGCTGGGAATTGTTGCGTCCCCAATAGGTTGCCCCTGCTTGACACTTCTACTGTGTTTTGTTCCGACGTCCTGTTCACTGCGGGCCGCAGGTTCTACGGCACAAGGTGCCGCTTAACAGTCGCTGGATGCTTGTTGTTTGCACTGGGCGCAGAGAACACGGAAGCTCCAGGGCAGTGGAGTCCATCAAGAATACAATTGAGCTCACGCGACAGAGGTGATTACCGTGACCTTTACCTTTTACTGGGAATGCCACTGACTCAGCGTACAGAACCTCTGTGTGGTGTGGCAGGCACAATCGGCCCGAAGTACAACGATGCTGCTGCGCGTATTCTGTGCCTCCAGCGCATTGCACTGTGCTTCTTTCAACGCGTTTTTGACGAAAAGAAAAGCAAAACATTTGTGTGAATGGGAATGTGCGGCACACGCAGAATTCGCCACAGGGGCCAACTGACTGTCGACATGGATGCTCCGGCTTGCTGCGAGCACTTCATCCGAAGCGAAGCCGACTGGAAGAAGGGGAGGGTTGAGAGGACGAAAAGAAGTTTAAGGGATCTGTTCATACGGCAGAGACACGGCCTTCGAGGAGCTGTTGTTTTGCTCGCCTACGACTCAGATGACACGAACAATAGAGTACGCGTGGCTGCAAAACAGGTAGGCGGTGCAAAAAGGTCCGCTTAGCGCCTTTGGCTGTTCGGTGCCCTTCACCCGTAGCTACCACTGACGGCGCAACACCGGCAGGAGAGAATGGGCTATTTCTGGTCCTGGAAGGACGGCTAGATGCCTGTCAGATGTGCTGGAGCGCATTTGCAGGTGTCAGTTCAACAAGACTTTCCAATACAATGCTGCAAGCTTCAAACGCTACATGCCTTTAAGAATAGGCCAGAAGACAAGTCCATGAACATGTGGTGGAATGTCTACCTACAGTTTCAAACGAAAATAACTGACGATTCTCTTCGTGCGGGGATTCCTTGGGCAGCGGATCAGCTGCTGGCACCTATTAGGGAAGGAGTACGCCCGGTGAGTCCTGTTCAGCCCCCTCACACACGACCCGTACAAAAAATGGCAAAGAAGGCTTCCCCTGCATAATTTGGTGAAGCCTTCGCCAGTGCTAAGAAGTTACTGAGGTTCCTGTGCGTGTACAGCCGCAAATATCAGAGGTGGTGAGGGCCATAGGCATAGCGGTTAATTCCTTCGGGTACGTATAGCATGGAAACTTGCCTCCACTTGACGAAATAATCGACAAAAATATGTTGCTGAAGCCTTTAAGGTTCATTGGCGTCTGTTTAATGAAATTAGTGCACTTCAATGGCACGCTTGTGGCTTTCGCGAAAACTGCGGGGCTGCGACCTTGCAATAGTTGACGGAGTTTTCTTCTGCATATCTTTTGTATAACCTGCATTGCGAACTGCAATTTACACAGGCCTCCTAACGCTCGCTGCGGGGTCGTAGGCATTGTCGGGGGAAGAAACGTTGGACACACTCAGTTCGTGAGCCACATCGGAGCATCAGCACCTGCCAACTACCGCGCAGGGGTTATAAAGGACATGGGGAAGCACTTCAAGCGTTTCTGGGAGAAATTAACCTTTGAAGAGAGCGTGAAGCCACACAAACGTGCACCCGCTCACCTTCTCATATACAGGTCTGCTCCCAGCGGGAGCTCGCAAATAAAAGAGGTCTTGGCCCACGAAGTCACGGCCATCCGAAACGTCCTTGGAACTGACCTTGGCAGCTTCGAATTCTCCCCAGAGACCAGTGAACTGATTATCGAACATCCCATGGCTACTGCTTTTCCCGATGCTGAGTTTGCAGTTGTCCTGACAGTATGCCCAGCTGCTGAGATGCGGAGATCCGCTGGCAAGGCAGAAGAAATTGCCCAACACGCCAGACCGACATTTGAAACCTTGACTTGTCAAGGGGCAACCGTTGGATCAGAAGGCCGACATATCCTAAAGTTTAAGCTTCGAGAGAAAACAGTCCCTCTGCTTCAAGCAATGGCCATACTAGTTTCCGAATTCGAAACCCCTAAGCCAGAAGCGTTCCAGGTGCACAGGCCTCATTATCTGTCGATGGGGACGCTGCTCTCTGTCCGCTCTGCAGATGATTGCCTGACTTCATGTCGCTTTCGTCTCGAACTACCCATGCACCACACCAATAGCAGTTCACGTGTTTTGGTCCCAGTTCTTTTCCTGCCTGCAGCTTGAGGACGGAGAAGACGGGAAAAGAATCACACTGCCCGACAGCCATCCCCTTCTTGAATATGCAAAATCTAACTCAAGATGGCTCAAAAATATAGAGCTAGAATTTACACATTCCCCCGACGGCCCCCTCAGTGAGTTTACAGTGCAGGAATCTCCTGTGGTTGCAGCAGTGCCTAAATCGCGTGCGAGCAGCAGCATGCTGCAATTGTTGCAGTTTCTGGATCACAAACAATTAGAGGTGCTCAACGCCATTGGCGCATATGAGCCCCGCTGGGCGAGCCCGTTTATGCAGACGGATTCAAAGGAGTCATTGTTCCGGTCAATGGCGAAATTTACGCCGACGTCAACATCAGGGCAGCGGAGTCGAGTCCCGGGACTGAATTGAGTTCAGGGGATACCATTTACCTAAGACAAGCTGCAATTAGCCAGTTGGTTCAGGTACATCTGCAAGCAATTTCACGTTTCGCTCAGATAGTTGAACAGCTCCCGAGTGGCGCTCGGCTTGGCAGTTCCTGTACAGAGCCTAATCTGCATAACATGACCGAAGCACCTCCAAACATACCTGGAGCTAGATCTTTAGAGCCAGACTGGCTTTAAAGACCTTGTGAACGTTTCAGAAGGTTTTCATCAATGTTTTGGTGAACCCGCATCGCCCCGCTAACCCAATGAAGTTCTTCATGAAGGGGAGGGAAGGCGTACAAGGGCTGCCCGTTGGAGCCTACATAGACAGGTTGGTCTCAATCTCGATCGTTAGCAAGCAAAAATCTTTTTGAGGCACGTCATCGCTACTGCACTGAGGTTTCAGATTAGTCTGGCAGAACTGCGTTCTGGCGGCGCAACTGGTTGGTTGCTGTGGTTCAGTGGGCCTGTTATTCCGGTGGCTCCAAATACCGAAACACCTGAAGAAAAGTTTCTAATAGGGACGGCAGATCCCACCCGGGGCTCTCCTTCGGCATCGGAGTTTCACGTAGCACAAAGTACGCTTCACACCTGTATGCAGCTCCAGTGATAGCCAACACGAGCGGCGCTCTCCGGGGAGCAGGCGCAGCGTCACTTGCTGCTAAAGCCGTTACACAGTTTGCCGTGTTTTGTCTTGATGCGTTTTCAGACGAAAGCGATTGGTCTAAACACTTCCTCGCTGTAGTTTCGTACAAGCTGTGTCATATGTACTACAACTGGGCCGGTGAGCAAACTTGCGCTGTGCAATGTTTCGACGACACACAACAGTGAAAACCCGTCATGACCACCTCGCGTTATTATGTGCATTTGGCATTACTGGGCTGTGAGACGCTACTTTGTTTCCCTCTGCGTTGATGGCGAAGGAACTGTCAAGCACCCGCACCTCCTGCAGATGGCCTTAGCTATTGTGCGGCAGCACGCTATCTACATCGCGTCGGAGAGCGGCTTCGGCCTGGAGTCTGAATTTGCGCCTGAAGGAGAGCCTGAAGGGGAGCCCGCGCAAGAACGCCCAGTTTCCCCGGAGCTGGGCGAGGAGCCCGAAATCCGCGAAAGGGTTCAAAAGAGGAGGCAGGAAGCGGGTCAGGAGGCCCTAGTGGGAACGCGTGAGCAGAGAGAAACGGAGGAAGATGCTGAAGAACGGACTGCTGGTCTAGAAAACCTCAAGGAGCTCAAAGCAGCCCTACAGAATAGAGACAGCGTTCTCATGACCACAGCTTTCATGCTGTAGCGAGAAGACAGGGCGAAAGGGCTGTTAAACTGCCAAGTGGGCAGCAGAGCATCTGCCCTGCGTACTTGCGTAGTACTTACTCCCCTGCAGCGGAGTACACACTCATCTCTGTGTCCTTCCCTAGAAATGCCAGGGTTAAGGGGCAATGGACTTTTAGCTTGCCTCCGGTTACGTTTTCTTGCGAGGCGCAGCTCCCTTTGGGCGTGGCTTCCGCTGCGTAAGTCCCTGTTTTCCCCATCAGTCGTCATTCCCTCCAAATGATTGGCAACGAGTGTCCACACGCTCAGTCTTCCCTTGTGAATACATTTGTGAATATTTGCACTTCCTTCTTATACATATGTACGCACACTCACATCCTCACGGGCATCTGTACACGTATGTGCATGGTGGAACGCTTAGCTGTTTTGCATTCAGTCCATGAAGCGTCCTCGCCCTCTTCACAAGAGGAGTACGTCGCAGATTTCCACCTCTGTACTCAGCACGTTCAGGTGGGGTTGCCGTGGCACTCACGTGAGTGCAACGTCCAGAAGGAACCGTAGCAGCGCCCATCTTCTTGTGTAAAGCGAAGAGGTGCAGTAGGCTGCGCACCTTTTACGGGCTTACAGGAGATGCGCACCACTCAGCGCGAAGTTTTGCTTTATTAGGAGGTGTGAATAACTCCCTTGAATATCTGTGATAGTGCCAAATGAGACGAAAGAGTGGCATGCTGCCCAGTGTAAGCATATGGCGTGCAGTATTCATTTACTCTCAGTTGTGACCCACGTAAAGACTAATATTCAAAAACCTCACACCGAAATACCTCTATGGAGTGCGCATTTACAAAATGAACACTCAACCTAAATGCGGTGCATTGGCGCCCAAGGGAAGGCACAGCTCCTTCCCTCCTGCCTCCGCTGTTCTGCCACCCGAAGCCGTTGTGTGCAACAACTCACACATCGCCTTCGAGGAGGCACCTTCAACCGAAATACCTAAGGGGCATGTAATATGCAGAAAAACCAGCTTCAAGGCACTTCTGCAGTTTTTCAATTGGTGAATACCTGCCGCACAAGAATATGCGGAGTTCACATGCACACGGACTTCATGAATATATGTACCTCAAGAACTGCTGCAGAACTATAAGCACGCGGAGCGTATTAGCAGATAAAATTCGAAAAGGCGCACCCTTTGAAGATACGTACCTCACACGGATCCACATGCAACACTCGAGCATGCGCAACTCTCTGAAACAGCCCATTAATAAGCTAAACGACTACGCTTAGTAGCCCTCAGAATGCGCATCATTTCGTGGCATCTCCAACAAATGCTGCAACAATCAGCATTAGGAGCAGCAAGTGAAGATCGAGAAGCGCTGCTCTACATCGAGGAGTCCTTGCTTCTCTTGTTTCTGAGGCGGATAAAAAGCATGGAAGATGCAAGGATTGACGCAGAAAACAACAAATTAATTAATCTGTAACCGCATAAAGGCTGCAGAAACACCCAGAAAAGCCCATAAACTCAGTTCAGGTTATCAACACGCCTCTGGCTTGCGAGAAGTGTCGGCGGCGGTCCAGTGCCTGTGGGGAAGCGCGCATGCAGGAAGTTTATTCCTCCTTTTACTTTCTTTTCTCAAAAACCAATTGCAAATATTTGAAGGTATCTTGGCTCCATCAACTGCTACCTTCTCGCAAAACCAGCACGTCCTTCTGGGGCCCCTCAGGCGCCCCACACGCCGTTAGAGCTGCAGTTAAAAACCCTCACTTCTGCTCCCATTCATTTCCCCTAATAGCAGTCTTCTTCCTGCAGTATTGGTTTTAATATTTATAATATTTAGGCTTTAGGGTGCTTCCTCAGGCCCAGGGGCCCCAGTGGACGAGACGAATGCCGGCTGCTGAAGCGTCATTTGTTATAGGGGACTCCTTGGGTACCTTCCCTCCTCTTTCACCTCTTTGCTTGTGTTTAGCTACACAAGCGAAGTAGAAAGAGGGCGCAATATCAAAATGCAGCAGCATCAGCAGCGGGAGGCGGTCTTCAAGGAGGCCGTCGCAGCTGTGCTGGCCCAGTGGTGGGGAATTCGAAACAGAAATAATATATATACATATTCTAGGCTCACTAGTTGTACATGCATCTCAAGAATAAGCGTATTAATATTGTTACAGCTGCTCAGTGGACAATTCTTCTCGAGCAATGCGCTCGCTGCCGGTGTAAAGTCACGCAGACGGGAGTGTTAAGGCTGTTGCTGCTGCTGCTATTGCTGCTGCAGGACCGTCTTGAACTTGGCTGTTGAGCAAGGATGGGGGGGAAGAGAGTCGTACAAGAAGCGGCAGCAACTGTACGAAGATATCATAACTGAGTTCAGTGAGAGTAAGCTGTAAAACTCTCCGCAGCATCTTCCCTTCTCATTGCGTTCGCCAGTGCAGCAGAAACAGCACCAGAAGCAGGAGAATCCTTAGAATAAGCAGTAACAGCAGCCAGCTGCAGGCTTTAGAGAAGCAGCAGCCGCCTTAACAGAACATGCAGCAGAAGCCGCAGAGACATCAGAAGCAGCAGCAGTCTAAGCGGAAGCAGCAGAAGAACGGGGGGGTGGACGCTAGAAATCTAAGCAATGCCCTTCTGTTCCTTTATGTGGTGTACAGACAAGAAGGTGGATGCAGACGACTTGGCTTGCAGCCTCTCGGAGCGGCTCAGCCGCGAGTTTTCCGTGTCTGTTGAAGACGACAGCGACGTAAGAACCCTTAAAATTATGTTGCTTGTTTAGGTTTTTAGGGTTTAGGGTTTAGGGTTTAGGATGCTCGTTCCGTTCTGTTGCTGTTCACGTTTAAAGCCTAGCTCGCAGTCAATTTCGTGCCTTCTGTTCCCTAATACTAGAGGAATGATACTCTGCGCTTCATCGGAGTTCGTCGCCCAACTGCTGCTGCTGCTGCTGCTACGTCTGCTGTGCCTGTACAGCTGGAGGTGGCGCAGCTGCTTGTGGAGCTGCACGAGCAAACGAGCCGGGGCTGCTTTGATTTGGCTGCAGCGGTGCAGCAGCAGCAGAAGCAGCGAGCAACTGCTGCTGCACAGAGTCGGTGTGGAAATGTCCCTGCGGCAGAAGGTGGGGGCATACGCTCCTCTTGCTGTTGCAGCAGCAGCTGCTGCTGCTGCACCTGCGGCTCATGTTTGAATTTTTCGGCTAGATGCAGCCTGTTGGCTGCCTGCTGCTGCTGTTGCTTTTGCTGGTGCTTGTGCTGCTCCTTCCTCTCCCTTGGCTATTGGGCCTGGGCGTGGCGGCGCGTGTTGTTTTCTGCGGTTCTTTTTGTGCTGCCTCTGCTGTTGCATTTGTTGCTGTTGCACGTGCTGCTGCTGCTGCTGTTGCTCTTAGGTGACTGCAGCATGAGCGACTCCAGCGACGAGGAAGAGGCTCTGGAAGCCCTCATGTCAACAGTGGAGATAGGGCAGGACGCTGAAGGGGGCATTGGTACATCAAAACCATCTGCCTAGGGTTTAGGGTTTAGGGTTTAGGGTTTGCGTTGGAATTAAGCAGACGGGGGAGCGTGAGGTCCCTAAAGAAGGCTGCACCTATTAAACCCCCACGAAACAACTTTGCAACTTCTGGACTGTCTTGTGGTGTGTGCATGCAGCTTCGCGGACACGCTCGCGTCTAGCAGCAGCAGCAGCAGCAGCTCAAGGCGAAGCACAAAAAGAGCAGCAGCAGCCGGATGCTGACGGATGGACGACTGTGCCTGCTGGGAGCCGCAGCAGGAGGCCCCGCTGAAGCTGATGGTGCGGCAGCTACAGCAGCAGCAGGAACAAGCAACAACAGGGGCAGCAGTAGCAGCTGCTAAAGCTATCGAAGTGGGGTCAAATTGCACAGGCAACAATGATTTCAATAGTTCGCAGCAGAATCTTTTGCTGCTGCAGCAGCCACTAGAAGACGGAACCCATGGGGGTCCTTCTTTGCGTGCATGCACAGAGACGAAAACAGAATAAGCTGGGGCTGGGCCTACCCGTAGCAGCATATATATATGTATATATATATGTGCTGGACTGCGAAACGTTTGCCTTTTGTTCATCGCTTAATGTTTAGGGTTTAGGGTTTAGGGTTTAGTAGAAGAGGGCGCGAAGAACTCCTGCAGCTTCAGCTGGGTCTAGGAAGAAACTGCGTTGTTCAGCGGGCCAGCGGGCGATGGCCGTTGCTGCTGCTAGAATCTGCAGAAGAGATCAGCAGCAGCAGAGAAAGAAACATAGTAGGAGATAGAGGTCGACAGCACACACACATATATATATATATATATGTATAGATATTGATATATATAGATATGTAGATATTGATATATATAATATATATATATATATATATATATATATACGCACACACACACAGGCACGAAGACACAAAACAAGCACAGAGGGTGACAGATAAAAAGCAAAAACACTAAAATCCCTCAGATAGACGACAAAGATAAGGGCCAAGATTGAAGAGTAGACAAAACGAATGCAGTGAGACAAAGACAGTGACACAGGGCATACACACAGACAGCCATTTCTCCTTCTCTCCTCTCTCTTTCTCTCATCCTTTCGGGGTCTTAGGAGGGTCTTAAGAGCTCCAGTGTTCACAAAAGAAATACGCACGTTCATGTTGTTCTGATTGCATTATATTTCAATCGTTCTACAACCCGACATTACAGACAATTTGAGGTGTACAGACAGCTGCACCTACCTGCGCTGGCTGAGGCCGCGAAGCAACAGCAGCACCACCTGCTGCTGCCGCGTCTGGGGAAGAGAAAAACAGCAAATGCATCCAGGCTTCAGAAGCCTTTTGCTGCGCCTCACGAAGGGCTCTCCACTGCTGCTGCATGCGAAGCTCGTACCTGCAGCGGCAGCAGCAGCAGCAGCATCAGAAGCACCAGCTGCAGGAGCAGCAGCAACAGCAGCAACAAGCATTTCGCCTTTGTGCGGGCGAGGCTTGCCGTCTGTCACAAGCAGTCTGCACGAGTTGAGCTTTGTTTGAAGCAACAGCAGACCCAGCAGCGAACGCAGCAGCAAACGAAGCAGCAAAGAAAGCTGCAAACCCAGCAGCAAGTCCAGCAACAAACCCAGCAACGAATACCCCTCCTTACTCCTCAATATCTGAGGCCTCCTCATTCTGCCGCTCCTCGTTGCTGCGAGGCCCTACAAACGCCTTCAATGTGGCGTCACTCGCATGCACGCGGAGGTCCACTGTCTGTCCTCTTGAGACCTAAGGGCAGCAGCCCCACACCAGCAGCAATAGCATAACGGCCGCGCAGCACAGCACCAGTAGCAGCACAGCAGCAGCAGCAGCAGCAACAGCAGCAGCATCACAGCAGCGGAACGGCAGCACCAGCACAGCACCGCCACCGCAGCAGCAGCAGCACAGCAACAACACGAAAACAGCAGCAGCGGGCTTTGAATCCGCAGGAACAGCAGGAGTTGCCGCAGCAGCAGTTGCAGCGCCTAGGCAGCAATCCCCGCAGTTGTGCAGCAATGCAGATAAGCACCGAAACCCTCAGCAACTTGCTAAACTTCTTCATCAGGCGTCGTTCTGGTTGTCTGTAGCAAACAGAGACGCACCCTTGAAGGCTTCAAATAAAATATAGCCTGTCTCCACGCCTGCGTGTAGTGATGAACCTCCCATGCCTCCTCAGCAGCAGCAGCAGCAGCAGCAGTAACTCCTTCATAGTGCTGCTGCTGTTGCTGCTGCTGTTGCTGTTGCTGTTGCTGCTGTTGTTGCTGTTGCTGCTGCAACAAGTGCCTGATGCATTGAGGCTGCGTAGACACTGTGAAGTCGCCGAGCGAAAATTCAAACCAAACGGCCATGGCATTGGCTGTGCCGCTGCGGGTCGCTTTGAGGGAAAGCAGTTTCTGTGCCGCTGCATGTCTTTGTCTCTGGAGACTAGCAGTGTTCTCTGCGCCTGCAGCAGCAACAGCAGCAGCAACAGCAGCAGCAGCAGCAGCTCAGCACCTTCTCTTTTCGGAATCCACTGCCGCAGCTGCAGCCTCTTCCGAAGCAAGAAGCTGGTTGAAGACCGCAACGGCAGGCAGCACAAGGAGCAGACTGCAGCAGCACCAACAGCGGCACCAGCAGCCACCGCAGCAACAGCAGCAGCAGCAGCGACGGTGGCACGGAGCGCCGCAGCACCAGGAAGAAGCACTGCAGCACAACCACTTCAGGCTACACAGGATTTCTCCTCCAGACAGCAACAAAGACAGACACGAGAGACAAACAGCAGCGAAGACGCGCAGTGTAGCAGCAGCACAGCCAGAACGCATAGCTGCAGCAGCACACGAAAAGCAATAACAGCAGCAGCGAAGACATATAAAGCAAGGAAAAGACACACAAAATTCAGCGCTCCAGAGAGGCACCGGGTCTGTCAGCAGCACGAAGTCTTCTTCATCGAGAGACACCTCAAAGTAGTCTCCATCTTCAGCTGTTGCAGCAGCAGCAGCAGCAAGCCACACAGCTCCTGCTGCACCTTCCGCAGTTCCTCCTGTTGTTGCTTCTGGTTCCTCTCCACATGCTCCAGCTGCTGCTGCTGCCTCCGCCCCCAGCTGCAGCACTGCACCCATCACTCGTACGCGAGACAGCAGCAAACCCGCGTCCTTCTTCCTCAGCAGGGCCTGAAGCAAGCGTCCAAACACACAGCAGCAGCAGCAGCAGCAACAGCAACAGCGACAAACATAGGATGAAGGCCCGCAGCGCCGTTTTGCTGCCCTCGTGCATACGTACAGGCGCCAGATGCGCCTTGCAGCTGCTCCTATGAAGTAACCTATCAGCGAAAGGCGCACTAACTATGTGAATAAATGCTGCAGCTACTGCAGAAGTTGCTGCTGCCGCCGTAGCTGTTGCTGCAGGAAGTGCAGCACACTCTGCTGCTGGAGTTGGTGGTGCTGCTCATACTGACACTGCCGCAGCAGCTCCTGCTGCTGCTGCTTCCGCTTCTCTTACTGACGTCGCGCCTGCCGTTTCTGGTGCTACCGCCGTTGCTGCTACTGTTTCTGCTGTTGCTACTGCTGCTGCTGCTGCTGCTGGGTGTTTAGTCCGGCGTTGCTGCGCTGTATCTACGACTCACCATTGCTGCATATTTCGTGAAGACAGAAATGCCTTCTCCTAATCCCGCATTGTCTAGAGCCAAAGAAGCAAAGAGGCTGGGAGAGACAGACAGCCGGCAGAGGCCCCCAGCGATCTCAGTGCCTTGTTGCTGCTGCTGCAGCTGCTGCTGCTGTAACTGCTGCTGCAGCTGCTCCTTAATGTTCCCCCCAGGCTCCAACCGGTGGACCTCCGCAAACGCGAGAAGCGCAGTGGTATCTTCAGCATCTGCACCAGCAGCAACACCAGCAGCAGCAGCAGCAGAAGTAGTAGCAAAAGCAAAAGTAGCAGCAGCAGCACCTTGCTGCTCCACTGGGATTCAAACAACTGGCTTTGACTTATTGTTCGTTGTTTCGTGTTATATCCCTCAGCAACCAGCTGCTATCCTACCTCTAGAGGCTGTTTGTTTATATATTGATTTATTTTATTCATCTGCTTCCTTTTTAATGCATATGTTTGTTTTTTATTACTCTATCTTACTAACCTTCTGGGGGCAAGAGAGAGAAGAGAGGCGTCTGCACAGCCTCCACTGCTTCTTTCAGCTTCGCTCTCTGCAGCAGCGCAGCCTCAGTAGTCTTGCTGCACTCAACAACGCGTCCACATCCCTCTCCTTGCTTTTGTTGCTGCTGCTTCTGCTGCTGCTGCTGCGCCTCTGGGTTGGTTGCGCAGAGCTCCTTAAAGGACCTCCAGCCACCGGAAGCGTCTGCCCGCTCCTCAGTCTTTGGCTGTGGGGCCACGAGCGTTTGCTGCAGCACAGCAAACCTTCATGCTGCACATCACTCTGCCGCCTAACAGACAAGGCCCCCCTATACCCTAAACCCTAAACCCTAAACCCTCGCATGGGACGGGGATGAAACAAACTCCAGCAGTCCACTGTAGGCGAAACGCAAGACACTGCGTGCTGCTTGGGGGCCGCAGCCTGTGCGACCACACAGTAGCAGCAGCAGCAGCAACAGCAGCAGCAGCAGCAGCAGAGCCAGCGGCTGTTTGAAGCGACTGCAGCTACCACCATTCATGGGGCATTAGGCGCACCTCGGCGTTTAATAGCAGCAGCTTCTTCGTGAGCTCAAAGGCCCCTAGTAGGGGCTCAGCAGCAAACAGCTTCAGCGGCAGGGGGGCCCCACAGCTCCGCACCTCGCGCGTCTCTGCAGCGCAGCAGAAAGCGGCTGCTGCTGCCTGCAGAGCCAGCAGCGGCAGCAGCACGCAGCCGCCGCTGCACAGCACTGAAATAGGAGGAGACCGAGCTACTGCCTCAGCCAGCTGCTGCTGGGGGCCCTTGGGGGCCCCCAAAGGATCTGCTGCTGTTGCCTGCAGCAGCCGCAGACGCCTCTTCACGGTCCTGTTGAAGGCCTTAATGTGGTTCTGCAGCTGCTGCAGCAGCGCCAGCTGCACCACTGAAAAAACGAACGCCCCACCCGCAACCCCACACTCACAGCAGATGTGCTGGATCCGATCCCACGCTGTCGACCCCGTGCCCGCAGAAGGTAAGGCCAAACTTGTAGCAGCAGCAACAGCAGCAGCAGCAGCAACAGCAGCAGCAGCAGCAACAGCAGCAGCAGCAGCAACAGCAGTAGCAGTAGCAGCACAGGGAGGCAGCATGCCGCAGCAGAATAGCCTGCGGCGGCATAGAGCAGCACAGTTGGGCCCCACAGCGGCGCCGGTTTGCTTGCCCCTGCTTGTGACGGCAGCAGAACCAGCACCAGCAGCAGCACCAGCAGCAGCAGCAGCAGCACGAAAAGCAGCAGCGGCAGCAGCAACAACACCTACAGCGAACCAACACGGGATCGCGGGCCAAGTCCAGCTGATGAGTGGCCACTGCCCTTCGCTGCTCTGCAGCAGCAGACGGCCGGCGTGCTACCGTTGCTGTTTCTGCCGCTGTTGTTGCTGCTGCTGCTGCTGCTGTGGGAGAGTTTGAGGAGTTGGCGGTCTCGATAATGCTGCAGCAGCGAGCAGCAGAGAAGCAAAAGAGATAGACAGTATAAAAGGAGACACCAACGGAGACAGCAGATTGAAGCCATAAACACCGAACGAACGCGGCTGCTGCATTCCTCCCCAACGCCGTCTCTCCATCCTCAGCTGAGTGACTTAGGCTTTAGGTTTTAGGTTTTAGGGTTTAGGGTTTAGGGTTTAGGGTTGTTAACCTGAGGGAGAGTTTCGTAGGCGTGTGCTCCACCTTAACTCTAAGGCCTTCTCCACGTTGCAGCAAAACTGGAGACACCCAGAAAAGGCTCTGCTTCACCTGACGCCTCCCTCTGTGCCTCCCCTCTGCTGCTGCTGCTGCTGTTGCTGTTGCTGCTGCTGCTGCGGCTGGCGTTGAAGAGGAGGCACTGTCGGGTGTTTCTCGCTGAGGCGCAGTGGAGAAGAAGAGACGGTGCTGCTGCTCTTTCTGCTGTTGCTGTTGCTGTTGCTGCTGCTGGTGGTGTTGCTGCTGCAGGCCCTTGTGCATGTAGGCGGAGGATCCATTTGAATGAGCGTGTGCGTGTGTATATGTGCTGCTGCGTTTGCTGCTTAGCAAGCATTTTTCTTTGTTTCTCTCCTTTTCTTCTCCTTCTGCTGCTGCTGCTGTTGCTGCTGCTGCTGAGGTTGTGTCTCCGTTGTGCTGCTCGTAGAAGTCGAGCCAAACAGCAAAGGCGTTCACCGCCCCGGGCCTCCCGTTGCCCTCGAGGTATATTTCTGCGGATTGCTGCAGCGGCAAGTCCTGCAGCAGCAACACAGCAGCAGCAGCAGCAAATGCAACAGCAAATGCAGCAAATGCAACACACTCACCAATCCCTGCAGCAGCAGCACACACATCTTCAAAGCCACAAACGCCGACAACAGCAGCACCCACACCAATGCATCCAGCAGCAACAACAATGTCGCATGCAGGAGCAGCACGACGTGCAGCAGCGGCAGCAGCTGGAGCAGCAGAAACTGCCACAGCAGCAGCAGCAGCATTAACAGTACCTGGTCTAGGTTCTCCAAGGGCCCGTCAAAGCGAAAGGACAGCACCGCCTTCGCTTCGGTGCGGGGTGTACAGACATCCCCGTAGAAGTGCTGCGTGGGCGCTGCTGGTGTTTTTCGCGCTGCTGCGGCTGCTGCTGCTGCTGCTGCTGCTTCTTCTTCTTCTTCTGCCTCACTGGGACACAGCTGCAACGCAACGGAATCTGCATGCGCCGTCCAGCGAGCCGCTGCCTCTAGAGGAGACAAATCGAAGTCTGTGGGTTTCCCCGCTGCTGCTGCTTCTGTTGCTTCGGCTGCTGCTGCTGCTGCTGCTTCTTTTACTCCTGTTGCAGCTGCTGCAGCTGCTGCAGAGCTAAGGGGCTGAAGGCGTGGAAGCCGAACTTCGAATGCCTGGATCCAAACCTTCACGCTGCAACGAGCACAGACTCCTAAACCCTAAACCCTAACCGTAAACCCTAAATCTAAACCAACACTATTCACTGCACGTACACCGCAGATCCTAAACCCTAAACCCTAGACAGTAATCGCCAAACCCCAAGCAGCAAACCCGAGGTCCTACGGCGTTGAAATCGTAGCCACCAAACCCTAAACCCTAAACCCTAGACCCTACGCCCTAAACCCTAATGCATTAAGGATGAACGGTTATTCTTCAACTTCGGAGCCTAAATAACAGGCACAAATCAATAAGAGCAGCAGCAACGGCTGCAGAAGCAGCAGCAGCAGCAGCAGCAACAGCAGCACTAGCAACAACAGCAGCAGATGCAGCAGCAGCAGCATTTTCGTTTGGTGTATTACCTTGAAGGAAATACAACAGGCTGAGACACGCACAGAGAACGACAATGCCGCGAGAGAGGCAGCAGCTGCCTCCCCAACACCCCCACCTCAAAAAGAGACGAGTCAAGAAAGACACAAGATATCGGGTGCTGCAGCATCAACGGGGCAGGCTTCCTGCTGCTGCTGTTGCTGCTGCTGCTGTTGCTGCTGTTGGCGTCTTTGTTGCTGCCGCTGCTGCCATGCGGTAACTCAGCAGCAGCAGCAGCAGCAGCAGCACCCACATCTCTCTTCATGCTTTCTGACGCACGCTTCTCGTCCTTGGCTTCCCCCTCATGTTCCTGTGTAGCCTGCTGCTGCTGCTGTTGCTGCTGCTGCTGCTGCTGCAGCAAAAGATATGGGCTAATAGGCAAGATGCGTGCGGCCTCCATCGCGTTCTCCGCCCTCAGCACAGCGGCGTACGTCGCCACTGCAGCGCACTCTCCAAACCC